AAAGCTAATCTGGACTCTCAAGGGCTGGTCTGGACCCAAGGAGCTTCACGGAACGTTCATCGAAGGTTCATTCCATTCGCACCAGGTGCCTCTTCCGAACGCGAAGAAAGACGACGAGGAGCTGGCTGCTCTGGAGAAGTGGCTCTCTGCTTATGGTCCTGACGAGCTGTTCACCGAAGGCGGTGATATCATCGATGAAATCAAGTCCGTGATTCCTGCAGACGACAAAAAGAAGCTGGGCCAGCGAGCCGAGGCCTACAAGGGGTACATGGCACCAGAGCTCCCTGACTGGAAGGAGCTAGGCGTGGAAAGGGGCACCCAAGAGAGTGCTATGAAGGCAATTGGAAGATTGATCGACCAAGTGTTCACCAAGAACCCACACAGTGTCAGACTATTCTCCCCGGATGAGCTGGAGAGTAACAAGCTCGACGCTGCTCTGTCGCACACCGGAAGGAACTTTCAATGGGATCAGTTTTCGAATGCCAAAGGGGGTCGCGTCATCGAGGTGCTGAGTGAACATTTGTGCCAGGGCTTCATGCAGGGTTACACCTTGACCGGCCGCACCGGTATCTTCCCGTCCTACGAGAGTTTCCTGGGCATCATCCACACGATGATGGTGCAGTACGCCAAGTTCAACAAGATGGTGAGTTGACAAGCCGACTCTTGTCTGTTGCCCGTTGATACTTATCTTATTAGGCTCAAGAGACATCCTGGCACAGCCCTGTGAGCAGCCTCAATTACATCGAGACTAGCACTTGGGCCCGGCAGGAGCACAATGGATTCTCGCACCAGAACCCATCCTTTATTGGTGCAGTCCTCAAGCTGAAGCCCACGGCCGCCCGTGTGTACCTGCCACCTGATGCCAACACCTTCCTATCCACGCTTGATCATTGTCTCAAGTCCAAGAACTACATCAATTTGATGGTGGGCTCCAAGCAGCCAACGCCGGTGTACCTCAGTCCAGAGGAAGCCGAGAACCACTGCAGAGCGGGTGCGTCGATCTGGAAGTTCTGCAGCACTGATGAGGGCCTGGACCCTGATGTTGTGCTTGTCGGCATCGGCGTCGAGGTGATGTTTGAAGTCATCGCTGCGGCGGCTATCCTCCGCAAGCGTTGCCCCGAACTCCGAGTCCGGGTTGTGAACGTGACGGACCTGATGATCCTCGAGAACCACGGGCAGCACCCGCATGCTCTGACGACGGAAGCCTTTGACAGCCTGTTCGGATCCGACCGACCCATTCACATCAACTACCACGGATACCCGACTGAGCTGAAGGGGCTGCTCTTCGGCCGGCCTGGTCTGGACCGGGTCACCATCGAAGGATATATGGAAGAAGGCAGTACCACGACTCCGTTCGACATGATGCTGTTGAACCACGTGTCACGTTATCACGTGGCGCAGGCTGCTGTCATCGGGGCCTCCCGACGAAACGAGAGAGTCCAGGTGCGCCAGCAGGAGCTGTGTGCGGAGCTCGGCCACGAGATTGCTGAGACGCGCAAGTATATCCTCAAGAACCGGCAAGGTAAGCAGACCTCCCCTTCAAACCCCCGAACTCTTGACCATCGGAACCCGTACTGATTGTTTTGTATAGACCCCGAAGGTACCTATGAGACGCCCTCCTTCGACTGAATTGACCGAGAGGCTGTCGGATAATTATGAGTCATGAGATTTTAAGACAATCGATAGTTAATAGAGTTTTCCGATTCATTACTTGGTGGAGATCTATAGCAAGGTACTCCGTAGACTTACAACATATGTAAGTAGGGCAAATGGGGGCTCAAAGGCTTGGATCGCCAAGGGACATGGCTTCGTGTTGAGTGTCGTCCACTATTCCCAATACGTAGAAGCTTGCGATGAATAGCGGCGGGACCGGCCGGCCGTAGGAGGCCTGATTCTCGAGGCAGCGCCTGAATCCTTCCCTTCAGTGAAGCTGACATCAGAGCGGTTCACGGAGTTCTCCATCACCGTCCCTCAACTCACTACCACACGGAACACACGGGCTCAACAATGATCAGGCTGCCATATTTGTTTGAGTTTCCATTGAAAGTATGGCATCACCGTCAAGGGCGTACGTATCACGTCCTGCATGGAGACTTAGCTTTTGTTGTTTGTTGTTGACACGAGTCGCCGCGCCGTTGACATCGGGGTTTGATCTTCCCGATCTCCGCTTCCCTGTCAACTTTTCCCCCCCTACGTCAGCCGGGTTAGGATGAGAGTGAGATCCCGACCGACGAAGCTGAAAGGGTCTGGGCGCTGAAACGAGCCCTCACGCAGTGTGGCCTTGGCCAACTGCAGCTGCAGTTGGCAACGAGTCAACGACAGGTCACTGCAGTGCTCCATCCCATGAGACAAGCGGACACTTTATGCAACAACGGCATTCGGCGGTGGTGATTCGCCTAACAAAATGTCCCGGCCGTGGCTCTCTCGGGAGCTTCGGCAATCGTTAGGCGTGAAGTGACAATCTAAACCCGATTCGGTGTACCTTGCGAGTCCATATCTTCGCCGCGCAACTATGGAACCAGCCAATCCCCCCTCCGTCAGCTCTCTTTTTTGGGTCTCGCCCAGAATACCCGTGGACAATTCGGCGAATGGGTGGTTTGTTTTTCTACATAGTCCTGAATTACTAATGGAACCCGCCAGGAACCATGCCCTCCCCCCCGGGGGTATGAAACAAATCAATCAGATTCTCAGGTAGGACAGATTTTCACCGTCTATCTGGACAAGGCTGGCTGTTGTGGATCGGTCAGAGAGTACAGGACAGGGGATCCCCTTCCCCCAGGCAGACATGATGTGATACGAATAGGATCAAACGTGGATGGGCTTGGAAACCAAGGTTTTGGAAGGATCGCGCGGCGCGTTGTACAGTACACAACGTACCTTACCCTTACCCTGGCTCCATACAATCAGATCTGACCCTGAAAGTTTTGTCTGTGGCTCAGCCACTCGTTTCTCTTTCTCATCTCTGCATTCGCAGGTGGAGCAATTCCGTTCACCCTGTGGAGTAATCCCGTTCCTTCGCTTGGTCTTATATAGCACGGCCCCGATGCTATTTTCTCTGCAGCTTTTTTGTATCTTCTCCTTTTTTTCTCGCGTCTGTGTGTTTTCAGATATAAGAACGGTTCACGCCATCCATCTACGAGTCCTGATACACGCTCGAACGTCTCTGTTATTATTGTGGCTGTCGACTGGGATCAATCAAGATGAGCAACAGCACGCTTGCGGCTCAGGCTGAGTTCCGCCAGTCATTGAGGGAGGGTTGTCATGCTTATGTGGAGGGGTACGGCACATCATATGGCTACCAGCCATCACTGGCCGCAGGCATCGTTTTCTGCGTGCTCTTTGGAGTCTCAATGCTTGCGCATCTGGTGCAGATGGTGTGGAAGAGGACGTGGTGGTGTACGGTATTCGTCCTCGGGTGTGCTAGTACGGTCTCCATCGCGATTCTTTTTGTGCCTGGTTTGCGCGCGCGAAACTAACAGGGGTCTTCTTTCCAGCTGAACTCATCGGATGGGCCGGCCGTACATGGTCTGCAGACTGCCCGTATAACTCGACTGCATTTCTGATGCAGATTTCCACCCTGATCATCGGTAGGTCGCAATCCCCTTATGGACCTCAAACATGGCCCTAATCCGCACCTCGTTTCAGCCCCAACCTTCTTCACCGCAGGAATCTACGTGCTTCTGGGAAGGTTCATCGCGCTGATGGGCCCGGAAACCTCGATGCTGAGCCCCAAGCTCTACCTCTGGATCTTCGTCACCTGCGACGTTGTGTCCTTGGTCGTGCAGGCCATCGGCGGCGGGCTGGCGTCGATCGCCTACAACAGCGCCGACGGCAACACCGAGCCCGGCACGCACACGATGGTGGCCGGCATCGTCTTCCAGCTGGTCTCGATCACCGTCTTCGTGCTGCTAGCGGCCGACTTCGTGCGCCGCACTCTGCGCCTCCGCCTCCTGCAGACCATGACCGGCTCCGTGGTGCCCCTGCTGGGCGCCATGATCCTGTCGGTGATCGTCATCTACGTCCGGAGCATCTACCGCACGATCGAGCTGTCGCAGGGCTGGTCCGGCTACCTCATCACGCACGAGGTGTACTTCATCGTCCTCGACGGCGTCATGATGGTCATCGCCGTCGCGGTGTTCAACATCTTCCACCCCGGGTGGCTGCTGCCGAAGGGGGCGCCGAAGCCGTTCCATCGCGAGATCAACTCGTTTGACATGGAGCGACGATGATTTTCGGAAGACCCGCTTCTGTTTCGCATTTCATGTATGGCAAGGCAGATGTCAAATCCGAGTTATTTGCCCTAGACTTTCTGTTTCATTATTCCCACCCTCTGTCCCCTTCCTCTGTAATCGATTTCTTCCTGTCTCGAAACATAGACTCAATACCCCACCCGCCCTATCTTCCTATCTTCTATCTTTTATCTTATCAGGCAGCCAACCAACCAACCCCGTCATCATCTCAATACAGAACAAACCAATAGCTAGGTAGCCATAGAACCCTACCTACAAAATCCCACCACGACTCGACCCAACCCAAAAATCCAAAATCTGGAACAAATCACATCCGTTTCAGATAGACCATGCAACAAACCCCTCCCGGGGGGAAACCTTATCCGCAAAAACCAGTGGGTTCGATCAGTGATCAGTGATCGGGTGGCGTTTCATCTTTCCGTGCTTGCGACACACGACCCCAAAAATTGGATTTTTTGGGATCTACCCGTAGACTACATGAGTCCGATCGACCATGCTCCCCTTTCCCCCCACTTTGATTTCTGGTCGTCTCGGTTTTTGGGGTTCTCTGCACCGTACGTATACTTTTTTGGGGGGGGAGGGCTTGGGGTGAAGGTTGGAGGGGGCTGGTTCTGTTATTCTGGGTTGGGTGAGTGGGCAGGTAGGTAGGAAAGTATGTAAGTGAATAGGTAGGTAGGGCTGAGAGGGTCCGAGAGACTGAGATGGTCTTGCTGAGTGTCTGATTCTTGGGCCTGGGGTGTAGGTACCTAGTCGTGTACTGCAATAGGGGCTTGGTACAATCCTATGTGGTTGCAACGGGGAAGCCTAGAACCCAGATTTCGAGCTTCGAGCTACCAAGTCGGAGATTACTTGGTTAATTTGGTTGGAGTTTACGGGTCAGGGGAGAGTTTACTAGGTAGCTTGAGCTCGGTCCTGAGCTGCAAGACAATTTAAGTTTCGAACATGGACGTGATATTTTCAGGGATATTGACATGATTGAAGAAGAAAACAAGGACTGCCAGAAAAGCAGAAGAAACAAAAAAAGGCCATAAGAGAAGCACAATCTCCCGGAAACTGATCGGCATGCGTGCGTGCGTGCGTGCATGCATCCACTCCTTTTTCGGTCGACATCCCAGAACGCCCCATTCAATTTGTTTTGGGGTTTGCGCATTTGCACCGTTGCTCCGCCCGCTGACATGAAATACTTGCTTGGGAAGGGATACTGGAAGAGCACAAAGAGAATTGCAAGAAGAAAGGTTATCACTCTGCTTCGTGATGAGAAGATATTCCCTTGGTAGCGAACGTGATGCGATCCCGAAATCTGTTTTCCTCGGCAGAAGAGACCGTGTTCAATGGAGTCATAAGAAGATGATGGTGAAGGGAGATGTTCCCTATGAGATCATACGCCGTCCACCGACTCGATCCATCCAAACATCAATCCGTTCACCACCGCAGCAGCGGCCCACACCAGCCCCCAGGCCGAGGCGCCCTCCACGCTCACGCGGTTCACCGTGCCTGCGACCTGGATGACCGTGTTGGCGAGCAACATACCGGCCAGAACAACGGTGCGCGAGATCAGCACCTGAGTCTTGAGGGACAAGGTGCCCCACGTCTTGCGGTAGACGGCGCATGCGAGGTACTCGCCGTCCTGGGCGGAGCTGGAGGGTTTCGTGGTCTTCTCAGCCTTCTTGTCGCGGGCGGCAGAGGCGCCGGTCGAGCTGGCGAAGAGGAAGTCGCGCGCCGCCCAGCCAGCGGGGAGGAGAGTCACGAAGAGAGCTGGGAGGCCGGCGGGTCCGGCATGCACGGCGGAGATGTCGGGGATGCCCTCGAAGTGGAGAACCAGGTTGGTGGGCAGCCACGGGGTGGCGTAGCTGAGAGAGAGGGCCACAGTGAAGATCGCAGTCGCGACCATGGTCGTGTAGGCGGTTGTGGCGCGGTCTTGCAGGATGAGGCGGTTGGAGACGGTCTCCGAGCTCGCGTGGGCGAGGTCGTGGAAAGAGTTGGGGCGGCGGAGGAGGGCGAAGGGGAGGACCGTTGAGAGGATGGTGATCGCATACGAGGCCAGGACGGTGGTCGGTCGCACACCGTAGAAGGTGGAGAGGAGGGAGTAGGTCGGAAGATGGGTGAGGAAGGTGAAGGAGCAGACGTCATGGCCTGCGCGAAGGGGTCAGTTCATCACAGGGAGATGCTGTGAGAAGAGGTATACATACTATCGTATCCCAGAATCCAGGCCAGCCCGACCTCGACGGCCTTCCATGCCATCAACCCTCCCACTTCCCACCAGGTCTCGAGGTGCTTGCTCACATTGCCGAGCTCGCCCCGGGTCACGATCGGCATGAGCGTAAACAGGCCAGAGCTCAGAGCTAGACTGCTGACAACGGCCAAAAGGAATCGCGCTGGGGGTGGAACCCGCTCCAACTGCGTCTTGTGGTGGGGCTGCGCACTGGCGCTGGGCTCCTGGGTTATTGTCACAGAGGACAGCACTTCTTTCTTGCGCGGGGACATGGTTCGAATCTGATCGTCGTGTTTGTTCAGAAAGGTGTGGTTGTGCTGTGAGTGGTGATTGAACGGTGGTGCGACGAGGGTATTCTTGTAGTCAAAGCTAGTCAGTTGAGGAAGAGGGGTGATGGAGGGGGATGAAAGAATGAGGGAGAGAAAGGACAACACGAGACACGAGATAAAGAAAGAAAGAAAGAAAGAAAGATTAATGGTGAGGCTGGGAATGTTTGGCCCTCGCGGGCGGTGAGGTCAGCAGTGAATGATGTCATCCGCCCATGATGCAAACAAGGACCCTGGTTCGCTGACTGAGGCAGCAAGGCATTCTTTACATGCAGTTTTGTCTATTCCTATACAACTGCCCGTAAAATAGTCAACAATAACTGTACAAATCGGTTGTATACATGATGCCACGGTCACGAAGGGATCAAGTCAATACTTATTCAGGTCTGGCCATTGCCTCGCAAAGCCTGCAATGCATGTCGCGTCGCAGGCTACTTACATCTCCAAGAATCGTCCTCAATCGTCCTCTTTCTCTGGCTCGCTCTCTACCACGGAAAACTCCGCCGCGCCTTGCTCACGACCCTTGCTATCCCGCATGACCAGCTGGTATTTTCCCTGATTCCATAGGTCTTTAATCGTCAATTCGCGCGTACGTCCGAGACTTTCGATGTCTCCAATACGCGTCAGTGTGCCCTCTAAGTGCTCATCGAACCCTGGCCAGTTGCAGATTTCACGGAACGCGTTCTGCATCGGAACCGAGTCGGCTCGAACCATGGCTCGAGAGTCGATAGTGAAGATGTTTTCATGATCATAACTCTGAACGAAATCGGCTCTCGTCATGATCTGCCGGGCTTCGTGGAGGGGGATCTCGGGGAGGATGTGGCCTAGCTCCGGGTGGTAGACATGCTTCATCTTCTTTTCCTCTTCCACAAGTGCCTTGGCCAGCACCATCGCGGCAGACTATCCCCATTGTCAGTCAACTTCTGTCAGTCTTGAACCTTGGGGAACCATACCGCATATTTCTGCTGGTCCATCACATCATCATCCATCTCGGGGCCCAGGATCCAACACTTGTTGAGGAACCATGTCTTCTCCGCCGTGCAGATATCTCGGCATAGTTTCTTGTAGTCGGGGGCCTTGGCCACCCGATTCAAGAAGGACAACCGCCCTCCAACAGCGTCGTACACCTTCTCTAGGTCTTCAGGTGAAAGCTCTTCACCAAAATACTGCTTGCGGTATCTCTTCAGAGCCTCCATGGCCGGCTCCTTTGGTAAATCTTTGACGGGGATGACTTCCATGCGCGTCGCATAGCGTTTGAGGCGTTCGTATACCCAGTAATCATCGCTATTCAGGACTTTTGTAGTCAACTATTAGCAATAGACCTACTATCTCCAGATTGAATCAACCTTACTCGTCGTGACAAGGCCACTTGCGGCCCACTGCTCGGCTCGTTGCTGAATGACCTCAAGAAGATCCTGGCCATCATGATCGTCGCGAACTAAGTGTGCGCTGTTGACAATCAGAATCAAGGGGCTCTTCTTCGTGCGCCGTCTAGTCAAAGCGACCTTTTCTAGCTTGTTGAACGCGCGCTCAATATCCAGGAGAGCGGTTGTGTCCCGGGGGCCCTTGATGCTGAATAAGCTTCCAATGTAGCTGTAAGATGCGCACTATGTGTCAGTCGAGGCCATCACAGTACCAAGGCCAATGGCCTTCACATGAGCTAGCTTACTCTTCATGGAATTCATAGTCTAGTGCTTTGCCCAGACGGATCCGGAAGATTTCCAGGTCTCCGTGCGCCTCGAACATTGCGCACCCCTCGCCATTGATTTTACGCATCGCTTCGAGGATCATGGACGTCTTTCCAGTCCCTTTCTCCCCGACCAACAGGTAATAGCGTCCGACTCCGAGGCCAGAGACAATCCTGTCGATGCGGGCTTGCTCGTCACGGACTACCCAGTGCTCTTCGTGGTTGAACCGGTGCTTTCCTTCCTCGATCCCGGCAATTTCAAGCGCAGGGTCACCAGGGTTGAAAGCATTCTCCATTTTTTCCAGGATCAGATATTTGTAGTAGCGATGATACGCATATCCAGCTAGACTAGTGACATCATCAGCGAACCACGAGTGCTTCCATGTCGTGAGGGAGCGGATCATACCCTAGAATTGCAAGAGAGGCGAATGTCGTGGCCGCCGTCTCCATCATCTTCAGCAGAGTCGACCTCACAGTGGGCTCCTCTTCCGCCTCCCTCTCTCTCTCCTTCTTCCGACTCTTGGGCTCTTCAGAGGGGCTTTGCTCTAACGAGTCGGGCCCCGCCAGTAGAGGCCCCTGCGTAAAATTTCGTACGACATAAGGGGTGGCGATACGAAGATTTCGGGGAGGTCGTGGCAGACCAGCCCGGGCGAGAGAACTCAGGGACCGGGAAGCATTTCGATACAACATCATCCTCCACCAGTCGAATATCGTAGCGGTGTCTAGCAAGATTTCTCAAAGACGAAGGGGTCAAAAAAAGAAGGACTGATGAAAGCCGAGAACAGAGCGATAAACTCTGTGCTTTCAGGTAAGAAGAGCGAATTCCCCCAATTGTTGGCGCAGATAAATTAATGTATGACAAAGGACAAGTGACGGATCTGATATACTACATGCAACGAATGCCAAGTGCAATTAGCAGGGAGGAAATTGGGCCGGAAGAACAGATTCTGCCCATGCACGGACCAGGGACTAAGGAGCGTCAAAACGGTGAGCAGGTCAAAAGAAAGGAAGAAGTTGAGGTGAGAAAATGTAAGGGAAAAAAGCGTGTCGGGAAGGTTTAGCCAACAACAGGAAGATGAGGTGTATCTATGGGGTGCAGAACCAATGGTCGTTTATTGGCTTGCGCATCTTTGGTTCGCCAGCTGCGCCTCCGATCGTCGAGACTTATGCACTGTAAATTCTGATAGTGGCCTTGGCGTTGACCATGCTGTGGCTGACCATTTGATATCCAGCTACTCGGTACTCAATGTCTAATATGTATTCTGAGGTCAAGAGGAGATTGTTATTGATGATTGCTCGAATGCCAAGTGTTCCGGAATCGATCGCTTGAAATCCTCCTGAATAGGATGAACACAAAGAAAACTGGGACACGTGACCCTGTCAGGAACGAATTCTACTGTAGCACGGCACCTGCAATGTCTTCCTATCTTACCCCGGTGTCTGTCTCGACGGTTAGCCATCCAGTACCAGTGCAACCTGTAACTTACTCCGCAGATGTGTTTGGTATATTATCAGATTGATCGATACTCGGCTGTTGTGCCGAAATATATTTCCCTTCCGCTTTACCGATGGTCCCGCAGATTAGGAGCTCTATATTGGATAGAGTGTGTAATCGGCAGTCTCGCATTTGTCACGGCTGATCGGAGATTAAATAGTTTAGAGCTCAGATTTTAATCAAGGCTATGGTTGCTTTTGCATGGCAGAAGCATCAAGAGTGACTCCCAGTGCGCCAAGCTGTTCAAAAGACAGACAGAAAGAGAGAGAGAGAGAACATTTGCTGGATACTGTACAGCAAGTACCATCGAGGCAATCATCGCATTCGCATAAAGTGACAATTTACTCGATAATCTGGATGCAGTTACATGTACAAGAATTTCGAAGACAGCGCAGATATCGATTGCCCCATTGGGATGAGAATTCCATGGCCTGCCATGGATGTGGAGAAATGTTGTTGAATCTGCCGCCTTTCCCATCCACCGCCCCGAGCAGTTCCGAAGGTTTTCCGCATCCGCGAAATTTTCTCTTCTGGCCGGTTTCCCCGTGTGCGCTTCTCCAGCTTCAGTCCATCCTATTCCTATACTTTACCTTTTTTTCCTCTCTTCCCCCCTCCCCATTTTGCGCTTCCCTTAGTTGTTTTGGGATCTGGGGTCCGGTTTGCACTTGCTTCAATTGCTCCTCTCCTATACCTTTGTATCATATTCTATTTTTTTTCTTTCTCAATCTCCCTCCCGTTCCGTTTCCTTTTTATTTTCTCCACCGCTACCCGATTCTTCTTCGGGTTCGAGTCATCAAGTCGTCGCCAGGTCGCCACGCTTCTTTCATACTCCAGTCACCCTTCCTCTCATTACGGTCCGGTCAATCCATTAATTAGTCCGCTAAAATGGCCCAGACCAATGGCGAATTGGAGCACTCGAAAGGTATGCTCTCTCCGACACTGGCAGTCTCGCAGCATGTCTTGCCTTCGACCATCTAATCAATCGCCCGTGCAGAGTCTCCTGAACAGCTTCTCAATGGCGACTCCCCTGTTGAGGGCCAGGAAGAGGAACTTAGCGGTGGTATGTGACCTTGAAAATCATCTCAAACTACATTGATTACTGACGTGCACGGCTGTTACGTTTTCAGGTCTTTTCCAGATCTCCGTGAAGTTGCCTCGCGAGCCCTACAAGATCCAGGTCATGGTGGGTATCTTGTCTACAGGAATTTCATACGGCCAGCACCAAATCACGTCTCTCTAACCCAGATCCTTCGTTAGGTGTCGAGTCAAGAACAAGTTCAAGACGTTCGTCAATCCATTGTCGAACTTCCCAGCACCTTCCAGTACACCTGCTTCCACCTCGAGTTCAACGGCCAGCGCATCAACGACTTCGTTGAATTGTCGGAGGTACCAGACCTCAAGGCTGATTCCGAGATCGTCCTTGTGGAAGACCCCTACAACGAGAAGGAGGCCCGCATGCACGTTGTCCGCATGAGGGAATTGGTCGGTGCCGCTGGTGACCGTGTCGATAACCTCCATGGTCTCAGTGCGGGTTTGTCTCTGCACGATGCCATTGCGGCCGACGCCGAGGAGACCACCTCCGACAAGGACCACTCCCTTTCCAAGTACGAGATTGCTAGCTCTCCATCTTTGAAGACCATCCTTCCTCGTGACGAGACCCCTCTTCCCAAGACTGTGAAGGCCATCTCTCTTTCTGCTTGGAACCCTCCCCCCTACCACCTGCGTCAGAAGGGTCACTTGCTCTACCTTCAGGTTACCACCAACGAGAGTGAGCAGTTCCAGATTACGTCCCACGTCTCTGGCTTCTACGTGAACAAGTGCTCGAACATGAAGTTCGACCCCTCCCCCAAGACCATCCCCAAGTGCGGCAAGGCCCACTCGCTGCTCTCCTTGATCGCCCACCTCTCGCCTTCTTTCAGCTCCTCTTTCGAAGCGCTTCAGGAGTCTAACAACAAGAAGGATCTCCTGACTACCTTCCCGTTCCAGAACGCCATCCCCAACAACCCGTGGTTGGTGCCTTCTCCCAACTCCAACGCCAACGCACACCAGTCGGATATTACTCGCTCCCAAGAGAACTACCTGATCTCTGGCGTCGACAATGCCGAGACTCTCAGAGACTGGAACGAGGAGTTCCAGACTACCCGGGAGCTTCCTCGGGATACTGTTCAGGACCGTGTTTTCCGTGAGCGCTTGACCTCCAAGCTGTTCGCCGACTACAATGAGGCCGCTGCTCGTGGTGCTGTACTGGTTGCCCGCGGCGAGGTTGCCCCCTTGAACCCCACTGAGGACCGTGACGCCCAGATCTTCGTGTACAACAATATCTTCTACTCCTTTGGTGCCGACGGCGTTGGTACCTTCGCCTCCGAGGGCGGTGATGAGGCTGCCCGCGTTGCTGTCGGCAAGGATGTCCTGGGTATCAAGGCTGTTAACCAGCTTGACATCAACGGCCTGTTCACCCCCGGCACTGTTGTCGTTGACTACCTCGGCAAGCGTATCGTTGGTCAGAGCATCGTTCCCGGTATCTTCAAGCAGCGGGAGCCCGGTGAGCACCAGATCGACTATGGTGGTGTCGAGGGCAAGGATGTCGTGGCCACCCACCCCGACTTCGTCCCTGTCTTCGAGAAGATGTCCAAGGCTCTTCGTGTTAAGAAGCATGCTGTCTGGGACAAGGAGAACCAGCGTCACGAACTGGAGGGCAGTGTTGAGACGAAGGGTCTTTTGGGCACCGACGGTCGCAAGTACGTGCTGGATTTGTACCGCGTGACTCCTATGGATGTTACCTGGCAGGAGGAGGAGGGTAGCGACGCCTATCCCCACCGCATGTCTGTGCTGCGTCTGGAACTCGTTGAGTCGTACTGGAGACACAAAATGAGCCAGTACGTCAAGGCTGAAGTTGAGCGCCGCCGCCAGGCCAAGGCTGAGGAGGATGCCTCTAAGGAGAAGACCGAGGAGAACCCCGAGGCTAAGGAGCAGGAAGGCTCTGAGGAGAAGTCCGAGGAGAAGACTGAGGAGTCTAATGATCAGGAGCGCGTCGATATCTCCGGGTTCTCCCTTGCTCTGAACCCCGATGTGTTCAGCGGTCAGGTTCCTCAGACCGAGGAGGAGAAGGAACAGTGGGCGCAGGACGAGAAGGAAGTCCGCGAGACCTGCGACTACCTGCGCTCCAAGGTCATGCCCGAGCTTGTCCAAGATCTGCATGACGGAGATGTCGGTTTCCCCATGGACGGACAATCTCTCAGCCAATTGCTGCACAAGCGCGGTATCAACATCCGCTACCTCGGCAAGCTGGCCCAGCTGTCCAAGGAGAAGGGAGCTCGTCTTGACGCTCTGACCACCCTCCTCGTACAGGAGATGATTGCTCGTGGCTTTAAGCACATTGCCAACCAGTACCTCCGCAACGTCCCGGCTCCTTTCGTTACCTCTTGCGTTGCCCACTTGTTGAACTGCCTCCTGGGTGCTGACGTCAACGCCAGCCCTCGCGCTGAGATTGACGCTGCCATGCGCTCGATCTATCCCGACGGTGACTTCTCTTTCGAGAAGGTCACTCCGGCTACTCTCCGCGCTGAGATTGAGAAGCAGGTCACTATCCGGTACCGCTTCACTCTGGAGGCTGAGTGGTTCAACTCTCTGCGCCACCTGCAGCTTCTCCGTGACATCTCTATCAAGCTTGGTCTTCAGCTTGGTGCTCGCGAGTTCGTCTTCGACAAGTCCCAAATCCCTGCCAAGGTGCCTGCTACCAACGGTGCCAACGGTTCCGCTCAGGAAGAGGGCAACGGCAAGAAGAAGAACAAGAAGAAGGGTGGCGACTCTAGCTCCCCTGCCCGTGCTCCTGTGGAGGAGAAGCTGGCTCTCACCATCTCCGCCGATGATATCCTCAACATCGTGCCCCTCGTGAAGGACGCCTCTCCCCGCAGCTCGCTTGCTGAGGAGGCTCTTGAAGCTGGCCGTATCTCTC